ACCTTCTCTTGCTCTGCCACACTCACCCTATCACATTAATCCACCTAATACTGTCACACTTACCTACACTTTCACGGTCACACTCACCCCGCAACCCTGTCACACACATCCTCCATCACTCTGTCACACTCACTTCTTTCACCCTGCCATACACACCCTGTCACATCAATCTTATTTAATCGTGTCATGCTCCCCTCATCTCGCCCTGTCACTCTTCCTTCTCCAACCATGAAACATTCGCCCGAACCCTGTAACACTTACCCCACAACCATGCCACTCCAACCTGTCACTTTAATCACACAACCCTGTCACACTCACTGCCCAATTCTGTCTCATTCACCCCTCTGGCCCTGGCACACTTACTTTGCCACAGTTACCCCTTAGGAGGGTGGGGTTCAGGGGGCCCAAGCTAATTCTTGCCTAGGGTCCAATCAGTATTAAAGACGGCCCTGTAGACAGTTGTCAGGAGTCTGTAGAAGAAGTAGATGCCTGCCTAGATTAAGTTTTTGCTTTCTCACTCGTGTTTGCATTTATGCTAAGTACTGTTATTCATGAATCAGGTAAGTGAGAAGAGAGGAGTGATCAAATAATTGATTCTATATAGAAAAGTGAATGGGAGAGTAGAAAACAAAATTCTTAGGGAAAATGTACTCTGAGAACAAATCAGGATTTAAATCCATAGACCCAAAGCTTCCTTCCCAGCATTCTAAACATAAGTTACTGAATCCCAGGGACATGAAGTTATTTATCTCTCTTTTGTGTATTGGGTATCTGAATTGAAATATACTTTACTAATTACTAGGTGTTAATGTACTTTAATGCTAAGCACATTAACCTATTGCTGTACATTCTAATACTAAAATATAAAGAAAAGGCATAACAAGATATGTATTATGCGTTTTAGAATATGTTTTATTATGATTCAGTTACTGCTACACTTTTCAGAAATAGATAACTAAAACTATTTTTCTTTTTTTTTTGCAAGGACCAGATGAAATATGTAAAGTATTAAAGATGACTGTGCAATAAGCAGACTACTACCACTAAACTAAGACTACAGTACCACTATTGCGATGCCAGGACCTCATTGATATTTTAGAGGTTTCGGCTGATATGCAAAAGCTCCATCTGTAATCCTATCATCCACACATTCCTATTAATATTCATTTAAGCAATATAGTACAGAAATGCATCTCATCAATTAAAGTTAGCATGGAATGACATTTAGATCTTTAACAAAAACCTTAGTAACTGTACCAATGCCCATAACTGACAGTTATGATCATTATGATTTTTTTTGTTTTGTTTTATCTTGAAACCCCTAAGGGCAAGTACAGACATTCCCTAATTTTAGCAACAAAATTGCAGAAAACTGCTCAATGCATATATACTCTATTATTGAACCAATGAGGGGTTTGATATTTTTTTAGATTATAAAACCGATTTACTGAATAGGCAGACTAGAGATACTCTCATCTCACAAGTGTCCCAATTTAAGACTGCTGTCCTGCGGTCATTTTTGTCATCTTTTTCTCTAGAGTCCCACTTCTAGGCCCCCGCAAATTACATCTCTTGTAGCTGCATGAGGGCATTCTAGGGTATCTCTGCTTCGACAAGAGCACTACAACAGGATTGGCTGCTTTGCAGGATTGATGGCTTATCAGAAATTCTCTATGACCAGCACATTGTAGTTGGTATGTAAAACCATAATAAACCCTAGACGTTTCACAATAAATACTAGTTGATTGGCCACCGGGTTGAACCATCACCTTGGAAGCCTATCACAGTGTTGACATGAGTTTAGCTGTTGGCCAAGACAATTTCATCACTGTGATTAGCTCTCACAATGATAATTAAGTCTGGAAGCTAATCTACTAAACAGTTGTTTGTTAAGATTAATTTTAGCTAGGATTAGACTACAGTTAAACAGTGCCTCAAAGTGTGCTGCTAGTCACTATAGTGACAGAGAGCAATAGCTAATTTCTCTAGGAACAAGCAAAGAAGAATGTCAGAACTAAAGCATGTCTCCAATTTGACCCTATAATTTATCAGATTTATGAGAAATAATCTGGCAGTAGGTATATGTGGGGGATATTACTATAATTGGGAGATGCAGCAGAATACAAAGCTAAGGTCATTGACATAGTAAGACACACAAGGAATGTAAAGTACACCATTAAAATTCTATATTTCTATAGAAATATATATATATATATATATATATATATATATATATATATATATATATATATATATATAATGATTGCTAAATCCAGCAGAAATTGGTTATTAAATGACAAAGATTAAATGAAGACCCAAAAAGGCACCATAACTCAGGTTCCCTCCATTGCAAATGGTATGCCATAATGGCAATATGTGCAGATGGAAACCGCTATTTTATCCCAAGAAGAACATGTGCTCAGTGGATAAATCAGTGAAAACTGCAATTTTGAAAACTGCAATCGTATTGCCTGTAATTTGACCCTATAACTTATAGGCAAAGGTCTATATTGGGGCATTGTTGTATACAACGGCGATAGCAGAGTACTAATCTTTGGTCTTTACAATAGTAGGACATACAAGATTTGTGAAATTCACCACAAAAAAATGAAAGTATTATAAAAACACAAACATTTAAAATAACCAGTAAATATATTAGAGGCTGGTAATAAAATGGTTAAATAAAAGGTGTCAAACCTTTCCTTAAATATCTAAGAAGATTGGATTGTGTGACTGCTACTTAAGTTGTTGTTTTAGCAGAATACATTTTGCAATGGTTTACCTTTAAAACCATATTTTGTACTGTGACGAGACCAATCTCGCCACATTGCATTGGAGGAGCCTGGTTGCCCGTCTGCTGCCTTTGGATTATGGACCGGCAGTTAAACGGTTAATTTTACTGTGCAGAAAGATTTATTCCTTCCTTTCTGCACAGCCGTTCGGTAGATTCGATCTACCGAACAAACAGACTTCTATCAGCCTCCCCAGAGCCGTGGGAAGTCGGCCGGCACCGTTAATTGGCCACCCAGAAGCTGGCGTGTGCCCTATATTTACCTCCCTGAAGCCGCGGTTAACCGCGGCTTAACGAGCGTGTGCCGGCAATTGACCACCCAGTAGCTGCGGTTAACCGCAGCTTAATTGACTGTTACTGGGTGGTCGCGGTTACACCTAGCCGCCACACGATGGCGATGTTCTGGAGCTCCCCGGGCAGCCAGCGCTTTTCTGCCCTGCTTTCCTACACAGCTGACACTGTGTCAGCTAAGCATCGCTGAGCCTCCAGCCCCTGGTTCTAATTCGTACCAATTTAACGAATGTATGGAAATTCGGTATTTTGTGTTGGGGAATGTTTTAACCCAGATAGCTATGCCATGGAGCCTATTCGTGTAATTAAAGACTTTGGCTCCATGGCAATTAAACTTTATTTGTGTGGTCTGAGTGCCATTCACCTAATAATGTGCACTCAGACCTGAGCTATCTGGGGATATGTTACATGTCTGTGTTTTATGTAATAAATGTTACTTTATGTATTTAAAAGTATAATACTGGTTTTGTGTCCCCACATGTGTAATGGAGTTTTGCCTTTGTCTTGGGAGATAATTGAATTACTTCCCAATTATCTCCCAGGGCAGAGGGGAGGAAGCCAGGATGCATTGTGGGAATATACTGTGACTGTGTGTCCTATTTGTCTACTTGTCTGTCTTTTGTCACAGTCTCCCATTTGGTCCCCTAGGGGAGTGTCCACCAGGTGGGAGACCTGCATAAATACTGGGCAGGTAGCCCTCATTAAACAGACCACAGCCTGATCCTCAACACGGAGCCTTGTCTCGTTCTTGGGGGGATTCACTGTATGCTGTTAGAGACTGATTGCCAGGAGTGTAAGCTGATTATCTGCTTTTCCTGTTCGTCTGCTAGCAGCTATTTGGGAGGTTCCAGTTCGGGAGTTGGAGTGCTATTTTGTATCCAGTTCGGGAGTTTGGTGTTCTGCAGTAGCCGTGCCTGTATCTCTGGAAAGGGGGCCGATCGCCTAAACGGTTTTTACCCCTTGTGTGCAAAACGGTCCATTACATGTACCTTGCAATATTTGTCCTAAAACTTCCAAAAAATAATTGAAATCATATTTCCTATATTGACCAACAAAGCAGTTTAACAATCAGAATGAAATACTAACACACTAAATTAACTCCTGTTATCAAATTGTTACTGTTATTTTTATTTTTTATTACTTTAGTCATACATAATATTGCATTAAATATATATGAGCTGTCACAAAAGGCCCTATATGTCTTAAAAACAAAAACAAAACAAACAATATAATATGCACATGGACAATAGAGATACAGATATACAACAGTGGAACAAATACATGGTTAAATGCCCCAAAAAACCTCAGTTACGAACGTATGAAATCTTGGAAAAGCCTTAGTCACTAAGTAGTTAATAAGTTGCTATCTTAATTATTTATAGAGGTATAAGTATTCATAATTAAACAAATATTCTTCATCCCATTTTAAGCAAAGTGCTTTTTTTATTTCCTCTTTTTTCCTATCTCTGTTCATATTGCCCAATATCTTCTAAAATAATTGTTTGCAATTATAAAGTGAGCACTACTTGTCGATAGTTCACAGAAGTGTGGTAATGAATTCCTGGTATAGCTATCATAATTATTACATTATCTGCTAACAATTTTATTTCAGGAGTATCTTCTTCTAATTTAAACCATTCAATGTCTGGAGATTTTCTTTTTAACTTGTTAAAGTATCTTGATTAAAGGTGTAGAATGATTAAAGGAGGTAGATCAAAACACACTAGCCAATCTTAGGAAAACTAACACCATACAGTTCATAGAGTGGGCAAACTTAAATATAACATAATCATAATTAAAATGATTTTGTAGTGATACATATACCGCAATACACCAGTAGTGATGTCCCGAAAGGTTAGCGAACGGTTCGCCACAAACTCATCATTGAGTAAACTTTGACCCTGTACCTAACAGTCAGCAGACACATTCCAGCCAATCAGCAGCAGACCCTCCCTCCCAGACCCTCCCACCTCCTGGACAGCTCACTAAGAATGCAGCTTCACAATGGATGCTGTCCAGGAGGTGGGAGGGTCAGGGAGGGAGGGTCTGCTGCTGATTGGCTGGAATGTGTCTGCTGACTGTGAGGTACAGGGTCAAAGTTTACTCAATGATGAGGCCGCGGTGAACCATTCGTGGCGAACCGTTCGGGACATCACTATACACCAGTTATGGTTTTAAAATGTAAAGTGTACAATCTTATGTTTAATATGGGGAGCTCTGAGAGAGTTTGCGAGTAGTGGTTGAGTTAGTGTAATGACTTAGAATGGATCTGGAGAAAGGAATAGCCTTTTGTATCTGTATTGCTTCCAACAGAGACAAATGTTAAAAAGTCAGATTGACTAATACAGTGTATTGATTTTTTTCTGATAAAAACACTTTAAAATAACTATTGTAATGAATAAAAATATAAAAATAGCATAATCATATTTTTAGTCCTTCAATAACAAGGGATTGGGCCACAATATAGCATGACACAATCCTGTATCCTAGGTCAAGGAATATTAAACAAATAAATAATAATTATTATTATTATAATATAATCTCAGTTGATACCTAAATAATATTTATTTCTGACTAAAAAAAAACTTGTAATCTATTCTAATCTAAAAAGAAAATATTAAATTAAAAAAACAACTGTATTATAACATTATTATCACAAATATGAGACTCTATGACACAATGATGGCTCCGTGTTAGTTTAATATATAGATTAAAGTGTTACAGACTATCTATGTGGAGGTTTATATATAGTATCAACAAAATCTGTCAATCTGCCAACATAAATCAATAAATAAAATGTGAAAGAAATGGTAGCGCTTTTGTAATTTTATTAAATTGATTTTCTTTTTCTAACAATTCACATAAAGAACATTAAAATACATTGGTGCAATGCTGATTTAATTTTAGAATAATGGAATTAAAAGAGGGGATGGCCTTCCAAGGCTTCTTCAAATTTACTTTTCTGATTGCACACTGCCAAACACTTGATAAAAACAATGCCAGAGACATCCCCCATTGCATTACTATATTTGAGCCCAGAGGGGGTCATTGCATCAAGCATTATAACCAACCTCAAATTGATAAAATGTTTGTCATTGCATCTATGCATATTTTATTTACAATCTAGAGAATAAATTGTGAAAGGTTTCCTGGCATATGGAGAGGAAATTGAATAAATATTCATTTCTTAACTGCATTTAAATATTTTAATTGAATTTATCTGTATCAGGATAACTAACAAATATAGCGTCATGTATAATGTTAACCACATTTATTGTATCCAATTCACTGAACATTGGTTACATACCAAAATAATTGCGAGATGCTATTTTGCAGTTTTTAAAATATTGTACCTAGACAAGATTATACGGTGTTGTGATAATTAGAAAATGCATATTTACTGTGAAATGCTTAGATGCACAAAATGTAATCTCAATTCTTCATTTCACATCTAAATTAGAATAAATCATTAAACACATAGGTATCGCAAAGTAATAAGTCATTGTGAGTATTGTTATGGTGGGATGTTCATTTTTAATGCAACAGTACATTTATTGTAACATGTTGAAAAAAAAAAAAAACAGCCAGCAATTTCAGATTCTTAAATCCGCAAGGTTTGCAGGCAACGAGTCAAAACATCATTCACAATATGCAAAGGAAGTAGGCACATGTCTGGGTGTCACAGAACTTCTGTCTTTGACTAATCTGCCTGCCACCCACTTAAATAGCTCTACATAAATAATTCAAATTTTAATTATGTTACAAGCCCCCGACCTGAAGAGTAATGTAGACAGAAAAAAAGAGCGAGAAAAGAGAGTAGGTCCTAGGCTTAAAATGCAGACTGTAAATGATGACCCAATCCATTTAAATTTTTCTGGGAGCTGCAAGCCATGATGTCCATTATCCAAGATTCCATGAGCCTCGAAATGACACACATGCCAAAACTCCCCCATCTTTAACACCTCACACAAACAAGTAATGAAGCACAAGATGAATTAAGGCAACAAAATTTTCGATTGTCTGGACAATATTTACCCTCTCCCTGAGAATCTGCAATAATTCTGTAGTTTTCTCAAGGGTAATGTTACATGTTAGATTGTTTAAACCACACACTCCATTCTACGATTTCTTTTTATTCAGAAAAAAACCAAAACATGTTCAACATTATAATGTACCTACAATAGTTCAATAGACTGATCATGTTCAACTAAGCTAGATGAATTCAATTAAATATTTTCTTAGCAAAATACAAAAACATTTTGAACTCAAGTATATAACACATATACATACTTCCCAAGAGTCCTAATGTCCCCTTTTTTCCAAGAGATGTAAAGGCATGTCTGATTGTATAACAGAGTACCACAGCAATAATACTCAAAGTAATATGCATTGAAAGGGACACTATAGTCACCAAAACAACCTAAATTAAACAGACTGTGCAATAAAAGAAGTGCTTAGGATGACTGTTTATGCAGCCCAGTCACACCCCCTGTATGTAACTTCTACAGCCTTCCTAAAAATCTTTGCTACCTATGACTACTCTCCTATACAGGGAGTGCAGAATTATTAGGCAAATGAGTATTTTGACCACATCATCCTCTTTATGCATGTTGTCTTACTCCAAGCTGTATAGGCTCGAAAGCCTACTACCAATTAAGCATATTAGGTGATGTGCATCTCTGTAATGAGAAGGGGTGTGGTCTAATGACATCAACACCCTATATCAGGTGTGCATAATTATTAGGCAACTTCCTTTCCTTTGGCAAAATGGGTCAAAAGAAGGACTTGACAGGCTCAGAAAAGTCAAAAATAGTGAGATATCTTGCAGAGGGATGCAGCACTCTTAAAATTGCAAAGCTTCTGAAGCGTGATCATCGAACAATCAAGCGTTTCATTCAAAATAGTCAACAGGGTCGCAAGAAGCGTGTGGAAAAACCAAGGCGCAAAATAACTGCCCATGAACTGAGAAAAGTCAAGCGTGCAGCTGCCACGATGCCACTTGCCACCAGTTTGGCCATATTTCAGAGCTGCAACATCACTGGAGTGCCCAAAAGCACAAGGTGTGCAATACTCAGAGACATGGCCAAGGTAAGAAAGGCTGAAAGACGACCACCACTGAACAAGACACACAAGCTGAAACGTCAAGACTGGGCCAAGAAATATCTCAAGACTGATTTTTCTAAGGTTTTATGGACTGATGAAATGAGAGTGAGTCTTGATGGGCCAGATGGATGGGCCCGTGGCTGGATTGGTAAAGGGCAGAGAGCTCCAGTCCGACTCAGACGCCAGCAAGGTGGAGGTGGAGTACTGGTTTGGGCTGGTATCATCAAAGATGAGCTTGTGGGCCTTTTCGGGTTGAGGATGGAGTCAAGCTCAACTCCCAGTCCTACTGCCAGTTCCTGGAAGACACCTTCTTCAAGCAGTGGTACAGGAAGAAGTCTGCATCCTTCAAGAAAAACATGATTTTCATGCAGGACAATGCTCCATCACACGCGTCCAAGTACTCCACAGCGTGGCTGGCAAGAAAGGGTATAAAAGAAGAAAATCTAATGACATGGCCTCCTTGTTCACCTGATCTGAACCCCATTGAGAACCTGTGGTCCATCATCAAATGTGAGATTTACAAGGAGGGAAAACAGTACACCTCTCTGAACAGTGTCTGGGAGGCTGTGGTTGCTGCTGCACGCAATGTTGATGGTGAACAGATCAAAACACTGACAGAATCCATGGATGGCAGGCTTTTGAGTGTCCTTGCAAAGAAAGGTGGCTATATTGGTCACTGATTTGTTTTTGTTTTTGAATGTCAGAAATGTATATTTGTGAATGTTGAGATGTTATATTGGTTTCACTGGTAATAATAAATAATTGAAATGGGTATATATTTGTTTTTTGTTAAGTTGCCTAATAATTATGCACAGTAATAGTCACCTGCACACACAGATATCCCCCTAACATAGCTATAACTAAAAACAAACTAAAAACTACTTCCAAAAATATTCAGCTTTGATATTAATGAGTTTTTTGGGTTCATTGAGAACATGGTTGTTCAATAATAAAATTAATCCTCAAAAATACAACTTGCCTAATAATTCTGCACTCCCTGTATAAACACACCTATGACTATTATCTAAAGATCATGAGGACCGACCAGGGCTCTGTTCTTGCCTTTGCAAAGTAGCCACTTCTCATGAATGAAACACATGCAGATTACACGTCTATTTAGGACACTCACTCTCATATGACACATAATGTTTAGAATCTATCATATTATATTTCTGCACCTAAATATACATTTTTGGATTTGAGCATTCTTAATCACTCACAATCACTTAATAATGATAACAATATAGAGATCTTATCTTTTTGCCACCCACTGAAAAATGCCGCCCAAGGCAAATGCCTGGTTTGCCTTGCGGCTAATACGCCCCTGCCTAACCCTTGTTATTGTCTGGCCCCACCCTTCCTTGTAACCACAGTGCTTCATGCACACTAGTTGCAATGTAACTAAGCTTTGTAGTGCAATTTGTTGCTATCCCAAATCTATACTGCAATTGGTTGACTTGGTTCACTGTACAGTTTGGGAGGGAGTTATGGTTTGTGTACCACTGAAACCATATTGTATGTAAATGAAGCTGTGGAGGTATAAAAAGATATGTTGTTTTCAGTAAAACTTGTTTGTTTTTCATTCTACGCTATGTCTCGACTAATATTTGCGTGGAAGGGGTGATATGGCTGTAATCACTGCTTTATAGGAGACACCATTGAATTGGCTGAGATAGTCAATTCTGATGATCTCAGCCAAGGAGGTGGGCCAGGAAGAGGTGCCAAATGCCACGCTGGCCAATCAGCATCTCCTCATAGAAATGCATTAATTTAACACATCTTTATGATGAAAGTTCAGTGTCTCCATGTAGAGGGTGGAGACAATGAATGCCAGTGCTGCACAGTGTGCAGCACTGCCCCAGGAAGGACCTTGAGTAGTCATCTGAGGAGCAGCCACTGGAGGTGTTCCTATGCTGTAATGTCTCTGAAAAGACAGTGTTTACTGCAAAAAGCCTGAGGGGACCAATTAAGC